ACCCCGCGGGCAGGTGAAGCTGGTGACGACGGCTGAGCGGGGCAGCTACTCCTGCCGCGTGTTCAATCTCTTCCATGAAGTGTGGAGCCGGGAAGTGGACGTGGAGATCGGTGAGGGCCCCGGGCAAACCTCCGTGGCCCCCTGCCCCATGTGGGGTGTCCTGGCTCTGCTCTGCACCCCCATAAAGCCCTCCCATGGCTGCCCTGCGGTCCTGGGGGGCTCCAGCGCGTGTCGGGGTGCTGCTGTGCACGGGGCTCCCTGACTCCCTCCCTTGCCGCAGGCCCGCTGCTCTTCGCCTCCGGAGGCTCCTGGCAGGAGGGGGACAGAGGTAGGTGGGGGCAGCGCGGGCAGGTCCCCGGGGTGCTGGCCACCATGCTCCCCAGGCACCGTGGGGCTGTGGCATGGCATTTCTCTCTTTCCAGGCTCCCCGGAGCGCGGCAGCCCTGGCCAGCTGTATGGTAAGATCCCGCCCAAAAGGGGCTGGTGGCCCTGTGGGGCTGTGACCACCCCCAGTGTCACCACTGTCACCCCACGAGGCTCCGCTCGGGTGGAGCAGCACAGCAGGGAGAACAGACCAGCGAGGCAGGGATGCCACGGGGCGCCGTGGTCCTTGGGGACAGTGACACCAGCCATAACCAGGTGTCACCTCTGTGGGCTGAAGGGAGCAGGAACAGCAGGAACATCCTGCTCCGGCCCCAGCGCCCTCCTCTCCCATCCCGGCAGCCACCGACAAAGTGGCCCTGCTGATCGGCAACATGCATTACCTGCACCACAAGCAGCTGAAGGCGCCCATGGTGGACGTGCACGCCCTCGGCGCCCTCCTCCGCCAGCTCGACTTCAAGGTGGTGTCGCTGCTGGACCTGTGCAAGGCCGAGATGCAGATGGCTGTCAACGAGTTCCTCCTCCTCCTCGACAAGGGCGTCTACGGTGCGGTGGCACCCGCTGGGGCGGCTGCAGCCAGGGAGGGAACGGGGTCGTTTTGTGCTGGCGGGGGCTTGGGGGGTGGCCAGGCAAGAGGCGGGATGTCACCCGCTCTGCGCCCCTCCTTACAGGTTTGCTCTACTACGCTGGGCATGGCTATGAAAATTTTGGCAACAGCTTCATGGTGCCCATCGACGCGCCCAGCTCCTACACCTCGGCCCACTGCCTGTGCGTGCAGCGAGTGCTGCAGAGGATGCAGCAACGCCGCACTGGCCTCAACATCTTCCTGCTCGACATGTGCCGCAAGAGGTGACCCAGCCCTGGCCGCCAGCCTGGGGACAAGCTGCCACACTGGGTCATCCCCGCACAGGGGTGCCCGTGGGTGGTGGTTCCCAGGGGGTGGAGCAGGACATTCTTATGGTCCCATCCAAACTCTTGGGTTTTGTCCTGATGCTGCAAAGCATCACTGTCCTGTTTGAGCCAGCAAAGGCGATGGTCGGGTAGAGGGGCACGGCGCAGTCCCCAGGATCTGGGGTGCCTTGGGGTGGGTTTTGGGGGGACGGTAGGTCCCAGCTCTTCCCAGCGGTATTTCTCTTGCAGGAACCTCAACGATGACGTCATCCCACAGGTTGGGGCACTGCAGGTCACGGCCAACATCGTCTTCGGCTACGCCACGTGGGTCCCCTCCTTGCCACCCCCAGCACAGGCAGCAGGGCTGAGTCTCCCTCCCCAGCTCAGAGCGGGGCTGGGGCTTGGTTTCCCCCATGGCTCAGCCCTGTTTGCACCCGCATCTATCCCCTGCTGTGTATCAGCAGCGTCTTTTCCCCAGGTCGATGCCGGAGGGGGTGGGCGAGCAGCAGCCCCCAGCCCCTTACAGGGCAGGGAGGTGCCCATGGCGCTGCTCGGCTTCGGGCAGCATGGGGGGGATTGAGAGCCGGGCTCCTGCGAGCACAGGGATTTGGGCTGATAATGCTTTAAGCACCCAGGATCTGGCCACGGCTCCCAGCTCTCCCTGGCACGGTGGCCAGATGGGTCGATGGGAGCAGGCAGAGCCATGGGTGCCCAGCTCTGGCTTCCCAGGGCTGTAGCCCCACTGGGGGCCAGTTTCCAGAGCAGTGACGGAGCCCATGATGGAGCCGACTGCTGCCCCGTCCCCGCAGGTGCGCAGATGCTGAAGCCTATGAGCTGAGCCAGGGTGAGCTCTCCAACGGCATCTTCGTCACCTTCCTCAAGCGCTGGCTGCTGGAGGACGAGAAGATCACAGTGCTGCTGGACAACGTGGCCGAGGGTGAGTGGGTAGCGGCAGGGGACGGCAACCCCCTCCGCAGCCCACACCGACCCCCCGTCCCTCTGCAGACATGGGCACCCTGGAGATCACGCGGGG